AGTTCACGTCGACCCCAAGAAAATCGAATCCGTGCGTACGTGGAAGTTCCCGAGAACGTGAAGGAGTTACAACAGTTCTTTGGCTTTGCTAACTAGTGCAACAGGTTCGTGCCACAATAAGCGAAGATCGCCGCGCCACTCACGAATCTGCTAAAAAAGAACACGCCCTATAAATAAAAGCCACAACACCAGAAAGCCGTGGTGCATCTGAAACAAGCACTCACGTCCACACCCGTACTCATCTTGCCAGACCCCGAACGCGACTATATCATCGAAGCTGACGCCAGCGACCAGGCAGTGGGAGCAGTCTTGATGCAAGACCAGGGGAATGGACTGCAACCAATCGCCTCTCTCAGCAAGAAACTATATGGAGCAGAACTCAACTACCCGATACACGACAAGGAGGCCCTTGCTATCATCATCGCCTTCAAAACGTGGAGATGTTATCTCGAAGGGCGCAACACGACAGTCTACACCGACTATTGGAGCCTAAAATATTTGAAGACGCAACCAAGCCTCTCCAGGCGGCAAGTCCGGTGGATTGACTTCCTCGAGACACACTTCCACTACGACATCGTGTACAAGCCCGGCCACAAAAACAAAGCAGACGCGATTAGCCGGCCTGCACACATTGCCGCTATCCAAGTTGAAGGGATGAATCCACTCCTCAAGGGACTCTTCATACACGGGTATACCATCGACCCAGAAATTCCCTTGGCAGAAAAGCGATATCTGCTACTGTGAGACAACGACATCGCGTACCGGAAAGAATCAATGAAGATCTGGGTACCTAATTACCCTCCATTGCGCCAGTTACTACTCGAAGAATACCACGACGTCCTGTACACGGGACACTTCGGTAGCAACAAGACGCTCACCGGTATCGCAAAACACTACTACTGGCCCCACATGGCAGATGACGTACATAAATTTGTCACCTCGTGCACTACATGTCAGCGGGTGAAGAGCAGTAAGCAGAAAAAGGCGGGTCTGCTACAGCCTCTTCATGTCCCAGAACAGCCATGGCAAGTGGTAAGCCTAGACTTCATCACCCGGCTACCAACTACCACGAGCGGTCATGACGCGATCCTCGTCGTCATTGACAAGTTCTCCAAAATGGGACACTTCATCCCGACACACACCACAGCATGCATCGAGGAGACAGCACAATTCTTTGTTCGCTACATCATCTCACAACATGGCATTCCAACCACACTCATCTCCGACCGAGACCCTAAGTTCACCAGTAAATTCTGGAAAGAACTGATGTCTCTACTCGGGACCAAACTCGCCATGTCATCCGCATACCATCCGCAGACAGATGGACAGACCGAGCGACTCAACCAAATTGTGGAGCAACTCCTACGCGCAGCCTGCAAGGACGACATCTCCAAATGGGACTTGCATCTGCCCGTCCTGGAGTTTGCCTACAACAATGCTACTCACGCCGCTACTGGACAAACGCCGTTCTTCCTCTGTTATGGACGCCACCCACTCACACCTCAACAGCCAACCATACCAGCCACAGTCCAACCCGCTCATGAATTCATCACGACCATGCACAAACTTTGGGATCGGACCCACAAGCGCCTTCTCGACATTCAGCAACAACAGAAGCGCCAAGCCGATCGCCACCGCACAGACCACACCATCACCATGGGAGACTGAGTACTACTCGATACACGCAATCTTGACATCAGCCATCTCCCATCCAAACTGCAACCTCTTTCTGCTGGCCTTCTCTCGTTGAAGCACAGGTCACTCCTGTTACCTTCCGCTTACGCCTACCAGCTACCTGGAAGATTCACAACGCCTTCCATGTCCAGCTTCTGAAGCCCTATCGGGATCCAAACACGATCTTCGTCGGACGCCAACCGCCGCCGCCGCCGCCCGTCCTCGTCCAGAATGAACCCGAGTACGAGGTTGAGTCCGTGCTTGCACAACGCCGTCGTCGGAATGGCACCGTGGAGCTTCTCATCCGTTGGAAGGGTTATGATCCTTCTGAGGACAGCTGGGTACCTGAGACCGACATGGGTAATGCCCGTCGTCCTCTATATGACTGCCTTGTCAAGCAGGGTGTTACGTATACCACCCAGCTTTGAGGGGGGGAAGTGTGAGAGTACGACCCTGTTACACCACTTGTTCCTTCTTCTCTTTCCTTCCTATTTTTATTCCTCTTTTTATCTCACCTCATTTGGTTTCCTATTCCCCATTTTCTATTGACCTTTGGTTTATCCTGCTATTATAATTATATTACCGACCAGGCTTGGGATGTACTGGTGCGCTATCTGGCGTAATCCTGCCGTAATCCCTTAAAGCCAATAGCCTCGCGTGGCTATACGCAGGGTGATTCTATCTTCTAGAAGGGTCTATTCCCTTGGGATAAGATAAACCCGGTTACCTGATGTACTTTGGAAGTATAAAAGCGCCTTGTAATGATCGATAGTGCAACCTTTCCTCGACACATTCGATCCTGTGACAATATACTCGGGGACGCGTACAGCTAACCTTGGAGTGTCCGGATGTCTGGCAATTGTGGCAGAACGGCGGCACGACTGTGAGACCTCTGGTGTCATATCGATTCTGCTTATCGCGTCGGTTGTAGTTGTTGTCGTTTCTTCTTTGAGTGTAGAAGACTAATGGCTGCTGCTTGTTCCGTGGTTGTCTTTCTTCAAACAGGTCCATCTCCTGTTGTTCAGCATGAAGCTCGGCGCAGAGGTCCATCTCGGAAATTCGTCCGTGGGCGCGAAGAAGCGAGCGGGTGGTTCTCCATTCTGGTCCGAGCCCGACGAGAACAAGTGTCACGAAGCTTTCTTCAGTGATTGTACCTACGCACCGAAGCAGGCGGTCGCGGAGTGTCTGGCAGCGACTCATATACTGCATCGCCTTTTCCCCGGTCTTCATTTGTATTGTTGTCAACTGCTGCATGAGTTTGCTTTGTGTTACGTTGTCGTTTGCTTGATAAAGGCACTTCAGATGATGCCAGGCGAGCTCCGCGGAGTTTCCATAGCTCCGATACGTTCAGATGCTCTGTTGCTCTTGTAGAAGAACTGTGTACGCCAGTAGCGACTGATAAGTGAAGATTTCCTGCTCCTTTGTAGTGCCATTACTTGGAAATGGCAGGGACCCATTGAAGTATCCCAAGAGGTGCGTGGCCTCCATCAGCATCTCGAACTCAAAACTCCAGTTTAAGAAGTCATGCCCGTTGAACGGTGAAGATGTTTGCAGTTTGATCACACGAGAACACTGTGCCTAGAGACTCAATATCTCATTTGGTGTTTGTTGTGATGCAGCTGCTGTTGGTTGGGCACGGGGCGGCATGAAGTCGAACGTCCCCGGTGAAGAGTGATAAGGCGCAAAGGTAGGCGCCTAATTATGCCGCCCGAATGATGAGTTGTCGAGGCTCATTGGTGGTAATCCCATATTTCCCCCGTTGCTCTGTGTTGAATGCGCAGGTGTCCTTGTCTGCTTCTGCGGGTCAAAGTGCGACATGAAGCTGAAGAACCTTTCTGTGAGAGTACGACCCCGTTACACCACTTGTCCCTTTTCTTCTTTTCCTTCCTCGTTCATTTCTCTTTATCTCATCTCATTTGGTTTCCTATTCTCCATTTTCCATTAACCTTTGGTTTATCCTGCTATTATAATTATATCACCAACCAGGCTTGGGATATACTGGTGCGCTATCTGGCGTAATCCTGCCGTAATCTCTTAAAGCCAATAGCCTCGCGTGGCTATACGCAGGGTGATTCTATCTTCTAGAAGGGTCTATTCCCTTAGGATAAGATAAACCTGGTTACCTGATGTACTTTGGAAGTATAAAAGCGCCTTGTACTGATCGATAGTGCAACCTTTCCTCGACACATTCGATCCTGTGACACGTGGTAATCAGAGCTTTTCCCACTCGACCGTGCTCAGCTAAGCAGCAGCATCGGGGATCCTGCCTCGAAAAACCGCCGGGGGCGACCAATTCGACGCCAATTCTGGTAAGCACCAGCTCTGCGATTTTCGAATTACCCCCTCCGTGCGTGTTTTGAACAGGATGGCAACCTTCGACAACGCCGAGGTTACCCAACAGCTCTTCGCGCGCATCGCAGCCCTACAGGAGGAAATGCGAGCGGATCGCGAAGCGTGGCGAAACCAGTTCGAGCGAGTAACTCGACTCGCCGGAGCGCAGCACGAGACGACAACGGCGACGACGCAGTAGTCGCAGCAGTTTCTCGAGGCTCCGAAACCGCGCCCACCTGAGCCGTTCGATCCGAGCGATCGAAACTCCGACGCCCGCAGATGGATCGCCGGGATGGAGATCTACTTCGCAGCCGTCGGATGGAGCTCGCCAGTCTGGGACGGACAACGTGTACGACTCGCGGCGAGACTGATGCGAGGGCCGGCACTCGAGTGGATTGGCGGCAACAGTACTTTCATCCACGGTGAAGCCACGTGGCAGCAGTTTCGCACCGACCTGCTGAAACGCTTCGAGCCGATAAATTCCAGTTTCCTTGCCAGGGAAAAAAATCATCGACACCGACAGTTCGGGAGTGTAGCGCAGTACACGCAGCAGATGGAGGAATTTTATAACCGCATTCCCGACCTGACTGAAGGGGAAAAAGTACAATCATACCTCGCCGGGCTGAAGACCGAAGTCAAACGACAAGTCGCAGCGTCAAACTACGCGAGCTACAATGACGTCGTTTTGGCAGCGGAGCGCTTCGACATGGTCAACGCCGGAACACGACGGGCGCACGTCGTGTTAGGATTAAGGACGGAGTCTAGGTGAACTTAGGAGCTAGAATTACTCAAAATATAAATCCGAAATTCTGGACAGAAAAGTCGTCTTCACAAGAAACGACGTCGACAAACAACTAGCCGTTGGAATGTCGCGAAACTTGGATATGTTGTAGCTCTTAATCTCAGCTACCGTTCCCAATTTGAATCATGTTGATTGATAAAGTATTCGCGACGCTATGGCTTTCGACGCACTAGGGGGTAAGCTGTAGGAGGAGAACTTAACTCAATCTCAAAGGTTCAATCAAAGTTCAAGAATCTCACAAGGAATTAGAAGGAGCAAGAGAAAGGTTGGGATAGAAAGAGAGGGACGAGAGGGAAGGTCCCAAGAGAGTCCCCAACCAAGGAAACCCCATAAGCACAAAGATTCCCTCCCTATAGGAACCCCAATTTTGACATTTGTCCCTTCCCAACCAATCCATCCAAGTTGGCCACCCTTGCCAACCTAGCTCGGTTGTTCCCAACCAATTTGCAGCTGTTACAGTAGAGTGACAAATTTCCCCAACCCCCAAAGGTCCCAACTCCATATAAAGTCACCCCACAACTTCACTTTGTAACCGCCGCAATTGTAACGCAAGCTCATGAACTTTGAATCTTCATAGCTTTCGCGTTCTTGCTCCGATTGAAGCGATTCTTGTTGCCTCAGAAAGATCTTCTCAAGATCTATCATCGCAAATACCTGCTCAAACAGAATAACACAAAACACATTCCCAAACTCCAGAACACACCACACAAATTCTTTCACACACAGTCAAACCATACATGCGAATTGAAACAATGGGATGGGAGGCAGACAGAATGTGATAGCATATGATGACATCACACAACAATCTCCCCCTCTGGCTGCCAACCATCATCCACCATACCACATCTCAAGCATGCATACTCAATGCACACTCATCCCAGCAAGCTTCATGCCCTTCCAATGATCCGCCTCCGCCAGACGCTTGGTGAAAATATCTGCTGCCTGCTGATGGGTCTTCACTATCTCCAGCCGCACCTCCTTATCAAGGAGTCTCCTCACCCAATGCCACTTAGGCCTTATGTGTTTTGTCAGCCCATGCAGACAAGCATTCTTGGCGAGCTTCACAGCGGACTCATTGTCACAAAACACAACTGTCGGCTTCTCCTGACCAACTCCCAACTCCTCCAACAAGCGCCTCAGCCACACCACTTCCTTGGCCCCATGGTGTAAGGCCATGTACTCAGTCTCACATGAGGACAATCCCACCTCATTCTGCTTCTTGCTGCGCCAGCTCACAGCACCACCTCCTAGCAAGCACACATATCCCCCAATGCTGGTGCCATCCGCTTTCACTGAGTTGAAGCTAGCGTCAGTATAGCAACTCAAGAGCATCTCTCCACTCTTCACATCTGCAGCACCTCTCTGCAACCGCTGCCTCACTCCACTGTACTCCAATCCCACTGATGCCGTAGCACTCACATAGCGGACCAACCTCTTGGCCGCTTCCAGCTGCTCATGACTAGGGCGTGAGACCACACTAGCCAACCGTGATGTAGAAAATGCAATGTCAGGCCGTGTATGATTTGCAGCATAATTCAGCGACCCAACCATCGAATGAAACAGCTTCCTGTCACTCTCACCCACTACCTCCTCATCAGCACATGGCTCCACAGTAAACCCTGAAGGTAGTGGTGTTGCTGGCTTTCCCCCATCTTGCAGCCCATACTTCTCAGCCAGCCCCTCACAGTACTTCCTCTGGTGCAACCTCAGCACACCCTTCTCCACATCTCTCTCCACATGCATCCCCAAGTAGTACTTCACCTCACCCATCTTGGAACACTTGAACTGCATCTCTAGCATCTGCTCTGCGCTGTCCAGCAAAGCAGTTGATGCAGAAAAGAGAAGGATATCATCCACGTACACCAAGAGCATGAGGATTTCATCCTTCTCCTGCAGCAGGAACAGGCTGGGGTCACACTCACTCTTCTTGAAACCCCCAGCCAACAGCGCCTCCTCCAACTTGTGATACCATGCACGAGGCGCCTGCTTAAGGCCATAGATGGCCTTCTTCAGCCTGCAGACCCTGCCGCTCCCATCATCCAGCCCCTCTGGCTGCTTCATGTACACCTCCTCCAGAATGATCCCATTCAGAAAGGCAGTCACAATGTCCATCTGCCGTATCTTCCATCCCAGGAGTGCAGCTATCGCCAACAGCACCCTCAGTGTTGTTCCTTTCCCCACAGGAGCAAACACCTCATCATAGTCCTTCCCTTTTGTCTGCTGAAACCCCCTTGCCACAAGCCTAGACTTGTAGCGGGTCAGCTCCCCTTCAGGTCCATACTTGTGCCTGTAGATCATCTTGGAAGTGATTGCCTTCTTCCCAGGAGGCAAGTCACACAGGTCCCATGTCTCGTTTTCAATCAGGGACCCGAACTCCTCATCCTCACTCGCCTTCCACTTCTCCCCATTTGGTCCATTCAAGGCCTCCTCTCGAGTCTTGGGCTCAGGGATTGGTGCCCAGTAGCAGTGAGCGATCTCATCTTCCTCAATCTGCTCAACCACACTCCCAGCCTGCACCACATTTGGCTTGCCTCTTCCCCCATAGGTCAGCCTCACAGGAGGGCGCACATCCCTCCTAGGTCACTCAGGCGGCTGTGGAACTCGAGGTGGAGACTCATGTTGCTGTTGCTGCTCCACTTCAGCTGCTCCCCCTTCTTCAGTCACCCCAGATATCTCCTCCTCAGACACTGCAACCTCCACCTGCCTTGAAGGCTGCTGCAACTCATCTGCCTCCACAATGAGTGGTGTAGATGGAAGCTTCTGTTGCTGCTGCTTCCATTCCTTATAGTACAGGGACTCAAGAAACTTCACATCCCTTGACACTGTCAGCTTCTGGATGGTCAAGTCCCATAGAAGCCATCCCTTGTGATCCTTTGCAATCCCCAAGTGCACACCCCATCTTCCAGAAGCCTCCAACTTCCCTCTTTTCTCCTTAGGCACATGAAACACTACCATGCACCCAAATGCCCTCAGCATATTCACAGCTGGAGCACTCCCATACCACTTGGTATATGGGATCCACTCCTTATCCCCAACTGTAGCCAGCACTCTATTCTTCACAAGGGCGACCTGCCTCAGTGCAGACACCCAAAACGGATCAGGTAGCCCTGCACGCCCAAGGAGAGTGCGTGCCCCCTCCTGCAGGGTCCTGTTGAACCTCTCAGCCACGCCATTCTGCTGCGGATTGTAGGGCACTGTCAGTTGATGCTGGATCCCCTTCCTCTTCAACTCCCCCTCAAAATCAGCTCCAATGAACTCCCCACCATTGTCACTGCGGATCACCTTCACCTTGTGTCCGCATTCCCTCTGAGCTCTAGGCATCCACTCCTTAAGGACAGCCGCTGCCACCTCCCCCTTGCTGTTCAAAGGGTAAACCCACACTGCCCGAGTGTGGTCATCCACAATTGTCAAGAAATAGCGGCTGCCTGAGAGGGAAGGGGCTCTTGTGGGCCCCACCACATCCATGTGCACAAGTGCAAGTGGGGTCTTGGCTGGTCCTGTTGCACTGTTGAAGGGGAACTTGGAGAACTTGGTCTCCAAGCATGTAGGGCAGCTCCCAATCTCCTTCACTTCCCCTTTCACCTCCAAGCCCTTCAGGCTCCCATTCTTCACCAACTTCTGCAGCATAGGGAAGTTCACATGACACAACCTCTCATGCCATGTCTCCCAATCGGCCTCTCCACTCCTTGATGAAGCCTTAGCCCATGCCGCACTCGCATCCACACCAGCAAGCACCTCACCATGTGTCTGCTGCTTCTGCACTTTCTTGACTGCTTCCAGGACCCCATCAGTTGGTGCAGTTGCATCTCCTCCTGCTGTTGCCTTTGCCGCTGCTGCCGTTGCTGCTGTTGGAGTCTTCCCATTCCAAGGGATGATGGGCAGCTGCCACAGGTCCTTGATGCAGCTGGTCTCCTCTTCCAGACTCCACAGCACCTTCTTCCCAAGCTTAGCACGGCAGCTGGTTGGTCCAAAAGGTCACTTCGGCCTTGCTCTTCTGCAGTCGCCGCACAGAGAGAAGGTTAGCAGACAAACCTTCAACTAGCAGAACATTCCCAAGCCCCACAAGCTCCCCATTAGCTCCCTTAACCTTGGCATTTCCAACACCAATGACAGGGAGCAAAGCACCTGACGCTGCTGCCACATACTTGATCTTCCCAGGGGGTTTTACCTCATCAAGCAAATCTGCCTGTGGGGTCATGTGACTGGTGCAACCCGAATCAATCACCCAGTGCGTGAGAGGGTGCATCACAACCTTTCCCACAGATCCCACATCACCCTCATGCCCATGCACATCCTCAACCATAACAAACAAACCAGGATAGGCATTACCTTGTGCACCTTCACCTTGTGCACCTGAGCCTTGCACAGCGCCACCTTGTGCGCGTTCACCACTGGGCGGCTTCATGCCTGGAGGTGCCCATCCCTCCAGCCTGCTGAAGCACTTGAACCAAGGATGCCCAACCTTGTTGCAGTACCAGCACGTGCCCTCCATTCTGGTACTCCCCCTGCCACTAGAGCTCCCATGCCCCTCATTATAGTCACCTCGGCCTCTACCTCTGCCAAAGCTCCTCCCACGGCCTCGGCCTTTCCAACCCCCTCTTCCTCTGCCGCGCCCTGCAGCTCCATACCCCTCAGCAGTCTTAGTGGCAGCACCGCCTCCCACATGGCGTCTGCGGAAGTCCTCCTGCAGAATCTGCTGCCTTAGCCACTCAGGTGTCCATTGATCTTGCTGAGAGTTGAGGGTGGGGATGAGGTTATCCCACGAGTTGTCCAACACCGAGATGATCTTGGTGCACTGCTGCAGCTGAGATACACTGCTGCCCGCTGCTGCCATCCTTGCATAGGTGTCCTTGATCTTGTCAAGGACCGGCTTCACATCGTCCCCTGGTCGCATGGAGATGGCAGCAAGTTCCTTCTCGAGCACGATCACCATCAGGAGAGTGTTGGGCTGAATCACATCGCGTAGTAGTTTCCACGCCCTTGGACCCGAATCATCCGCTTCCACAAGATCCTTGATGTGCTCGAACATCTCCTTGTTGACCGATTGAAGGATGAGGTCGAAAAGCACCGTGCTTTTCTCAATCCACCGTTCACGTGCTTCGCCTTCTTCCGGCATCTTCTCTTCCCCAACAGCAATCTTCAGTAGCTTGTAGCGTTTGAAGGCACTTCTCATCCGTCCGCTCCATTCCTCATAGTTGGAGCCATCCAAAGCTTCAACTTTTGATGGCGGCGGCTCACTTGTCTTCTCAGCTACAGCTCCTCTTCCATTAGCATCTCCTCCTCTCTCATTCATCTTCTCCTTGAGAAATGACGAATTTCAGCCCCCCTTTGCTGTCCACACTCAGCTCCCTCGATATTTTCACAAGTGTCGGCGTCCACGAAATTTCGGCAGAGTTTCCCTTAGCGGAAGACACATCCAACCTTTAGAACACTACTTAGGCACACCCACAGGCCATGGTGGGTCTAGAAGGGTCTTCACACTTCTGTAGACTCCTCTCAACGTCCTTAATACAGCTCTGATACCACTTGTTAGGATTAAGGACGGAGTCTAGGTGAACTTAGGAGCTAGAATTACTCAAAATATAAATCCGAAATTCTGGACAGAAAAGTCGTCTTCACAAGAAACGACGTCGACAAACAACTAGCCGTTGGAATGTCGCGAAACTTGGATATGTTGTAGCTCTTAATCTCAGCTACCGTTCCCAATTTGAATCATGTTGATTGATAAAGTATTCGCGACGCTATGGCTTTCGACGCACTAGGGGGTAAGCTGTAGGAGGAGAACTTAACTCAATCTCAAAGGTTCAATCAAAGTTCAAGAATCTCACAAGGAATTAGAAGGAGCAAGAGAAAGGTTGGGATAGAAAGAGAGGGACGAGAGGGAAGGTCCCAAGAGAGTCCCCAACCAAGGAAACCCCATAAGCACAAAGATTCCCTCCCTATAGGAACCCCAATTTTGACATTTGTCCCTTCCCAACCAATCCATCCAAGTTGGCCACCCTTGCCAACCTAGCTCGGTTGTTCCCAACCAATTTGCAGCTGTTACAGTAGAGTGACAAATTTCCCCAACCCCCAAAGGTCCCAACTCCATATAAAGTCACCCCACAACTTCACTTTGTAACCGCCGCAATTGTAACGCAAGCTCATGAACTTTGAATCTTCATAGCTTTCGCGTTCTTGCTCCGATTGAAGCGATTCTTGTTGCCTCAGAAAGATCTTCTCAAGATCTATCATCGCAAATACCTGCTCAAACAGAATAACACAAAACACATTCCCAAACTCCAGAACACACCACACAAATTCTTTCACACACAGTCAAACCATACATGCGAATTGAAACAATGGGATGGGAGGCAGACAGAATGTGATAGCATATGATGACATCACACAACACGTCGGCAGTACGCGACAGGGCGACCGCTCGGCTCACCCCACGTTCGCCGACCCGATGGAAGTCGACAGATTCGAGGGGCGGCCACGTCCGAAAAACACCAACTACACGTGTGATTTCTGCGGGGTGCCAGGTCATCGAATCTTCGACTGCAGCAAAATGAAGACCGCACGCGCAGAGTATCGGGCACGCAACAGTGGCGGAATTCCTTCAGCCAATCAGAAGTCAAAAAACGGGAGTCGCCTGTGATTGCGGATCTAGCTGGCGAAAATAAAAAGATCCGAAAACGGTCGCGGGATTCCGGAAAAATCAACTTCGACGAAGCTGATTCGACGCGAGAAGGAGGAAATGATGGGGGAAAATCTCCACCCCACGACCAGTCCTCGCCAGGGAAAATCGCCGAGGAAAAATACGACTCCGCGAAAAAAGACTCTGCCGAGACAGGGAAACTCCTTGAAGACCCAAGAAATTATAAGAATTCGTTAAAGCTATCTTATAAAGATGCTTTAATGAAAACTTATGAATTTCGAGGGGCTAGAGCCTTGGAGAAATTTCGGGAGGGACTCCAAAAGAAGCAGACAATTGTGGAGATTATACCGGTACCGGACAACTTGGGGACCAAATTAAGGAGTGTGGAAAGAAGCCGACCTTTCCACGGAGTCAACGTCCTCTCCCGACACCAGCCCACAACGACTACCCGTTCCCCAGGGAAGACGTCGGTGGAGCTGAAGTAGCTCAAGAGGAAGCTGGGGGTCTACAAGAAGCTGCACAAACCCCGAATTCCTTCTCCTACGGATGCATCCAGTTCTTCGGCATCAGTGACGCGCACAGTCGTCAAAGAAACTCCGGGCCCTGGAGAAGAGCCGTTCTCCAAGCAGCCTCGGCCAGCTGCCAGCTCAGGAGTAGATAGCAGCACACAGGTGTGTACGGAGTATTGGGATGTACCCTATGACCCAGTCAATGAAACTATCTTTGGGTACTCCGAGCAACGACTGCCCTTCGTGCTCGAGGTCATCTGCAAAGGACGACACCTCCAAGCACTCGTGGACAGCGGAGCATCACACACCGTCTGCAACAAGGCAGTAATCGACCGACTACGGGGAGAGTACAAGCCTTCAGGATTCTCTGCAACCATGGTGGACGGCAGCAAGTTACCAGAATACGGCGAAGCAGTGCTACACCTACAAATCGGACCACTGCGCTGGAGACCTGCACTCCCGATCACCAACATCAAAGGGCTTGACTTGATCTTCGGGCGAGACTTCCTGAAAAGGTTCAACCCCGAGATCAACTGGGTGAACCGCACCGCAAGCATCTACAACAATGGACGGAGAGTACGGCTACCCAACTGGGACGATACTGGAGATATCCCAGTGGAGACACTCGCACGATTCGAGAAGGACGTAAAGCGGACCGACACCGGGTTCCTGGCGATAGCAACAGAGGTGGAGAATGACGGAGAGAAAGCCTCGGAAACTCCAGAAAAAATCAAGGAATTACTGAAGGAGTTCCAAGACATTCTTCCTGACGATCTTCCGAACGAGCTACCGCCATACCGAACGCATCAACACGAGATCGTGGAGGAACCGGGTTCGAAGCCGACCTTCCGAGCACCATACCGGCTCAGCCCTACGGAGCTGACTGACATGAAAAAACAGATAGAGTATCTCCTAGCCAAAGGACTAATCCGGCCATCCACTTCGCCATACGGTGCCCCAGTACTCTTCACCCCGAAACCGGACGGAAGCCTGCGCATGTGCATCGACTACCGAGCTCTTAACAAGCAGACCATCAAGAATAAATATCCGATACCGCGAATCGATGACCTGCTTGACCAGCTTCGGGGAGCTACGGTATTTTCCAAACTGGATCTGCGGTCCGGATACTGGCAGATACGGATGGCGGACAACTCTATCCACAAAACTGCTTTTCAAACTCGGTACGGATCGTACGAGTATTTGGTAATGCCGTTCGGACTCACCAACGCGCCGGCAACGTTCCAAGCCGAAATGAACCACATTCTACGACCACTTCTGGACGAATGCGTGGTGGTGTACCTGGACGACATACTCATCTACTCGTGCGACATGAAGCAGCACGTCGAACACCTGCGACGCGTCTTCGAAATTCTTTGACGAGAACGATTCTACGTCAAACCGTCCTTGAGCGAAATCGCCCTTGAAAAGGTCCAGTTCCTAGGGCACATGGTGAGCGCTCAAGGAGTTCACGTCGACCCCAAGAAAATTGAAGCCGTACGTACGTGGAAGACACCCGAGAACGTAAAGGAGTTGCAGCAGTTCCTAGGCTTCGCTAATTACTACAACAGGTTTGTGCCACAGTATGCGAAAATCACAGCACCACTCACGAATCTGCTGAAGAAGAACACGCCCTACAAATGGGAGCCGAAGCACCAGGAAGCCGTGGAACAGCTGAAGCAGGCACTTACGTCCGCACCGGTACTCATTGTTGTGTGATGTCATCATATGCTATCACATTCTGTCTGCCTCCCATCCCATGTTTTCAACTTGCATGTGTGGTTTGAATGTGAAAGAATTTGTGTGTGGTGTGTTCTGGAGTTTGGGAATGTGTTCTGTGTTATTTTTGTTTGAGCAGGTATTTTGATGATAGATCTTGAGAAGATCTTTCCGACGCAACAAGAATCGCTTCAATCGGAGCAAGAACGCGAAAGCTATGAAGATTCAAAGTTCATGAGCTTGCGTTACAATTGCGGCGGTTACAAAGTGAAGTTGTGGGGTGACTCTATATGGAGTTGGGACCTTTGGGGTTGGGGAAATTTGTCACTCTACTGTAACAGCTGCAAATTGGTTGGGAACAACCAAGCTAGGTTGGCAAGGGTGGCCAACTTGGATGGATTGGTTGGGAAGGGACAAAGGTCAAAGTTGAGGTTCCTATAGGGAGGGAATCTTTGTGCTTATGGGGTTTCCTTGGTTGGGGACTCTCTTGGGACCTTCCCTCTCGTCCCTCTCTTTCTATCCCAACCTTTCTCTTGCTCCTCAAATTCCTTGTGAGATTCTTGAACTTTGATTGAACTCTTGAGATTGAGTTAAGTTCTCCTCCTACAGCTTACCCCCTAGTGCGTCGAAAGCCATAGCGTCGCGAATACTTCATCAATCAACGTGATTCAAATTGGGAACGGTAGCTGAGATCAAGAGCTACAACATATCCAAGTTTCGCGACATTCCAACGGCTAGTGTTTTGTCGACGTCGTTTCTTGTGAAGACGACTTTTCTGTCCAGAATTTCGGATTTATATTTTGAGTAATTCTAGCTCCTAAGTTCACCTAGACTCTGTCCTTAATCCTAACAAGTGGTATCAGAGCGATATTAAGGACATTGAGAGGAGTCTACAGAAGTGTGAAGACCCTTCTAGACCCACCATGGCCTGTGGGTGTGCCTAAGTGGTGTTCTAAAGGTTGGATGTGTCTTCCGCTAAGGGGAAACTCTGCCGAAATTTCGTGGACGCCGACACTTGTGAAAATATCGAGGGAGCTGAGTGTGGACAGCAAAGGGGAGCTGAAATTCGTCATTTCTCAAGGAGAAGATGAATGAGAGAGGAGGAGATGCTAATGGAAGAGGAGCTGTAGCTGAGAAGACAAGTGAGCCGCCGCCATCAAAAGTTGAAGCTTTGGATGGCTCCAACTATGAGGAATGGAGCGGACGGATGAGGAGTGCCTTCAAACGCTACAAGCTCCTGAAGATTGCTGTTGGGGAAGAGAAGATGCCGGAAGAAGGCGAAGCACGTGAACGGTGGATTGAGAAAAGCGCGGTGCTTTTCGACCTCATTCTTCAATCGGTCAACAAGGAGATGTTCGAGCACATCAAGGATCTTGTGGAAGCGGATGATTCGGGTCCAAGGGCGTGGAAACTACTACGTGATGTGGTTCAGCCCAACACTCTCCCGATGGTGATCGTGCTCGAGAAGGAACTTGCTGCCATCTCCATGCGACCAGGGGACGATGTGAAGCCGGTCCTTGACAAGATCAAGGACACCTATGCAAGGATGGCAGCAGCGGGCAGCAGTGTATCTCAGCTGCAGCAGTGCACCAAGATCATCTCGGTGTTGGACAACTCTTGGGACAACCTCATCCCCACCCTCAACTCTCAGCAAGATCAATGGACACCTGAGTGGCTAAGGCAGCAGATTCTGCAGGAGGACTTCCGCAGACGCCATGTGGGAGGCGGTGCTGCCACTAAGACTGCTGAGGGGTATGGAGCTGCAGGGCGCAGCAGAGGAAGAGGGGGTTGGAAAGGCCGAGGCCGTGGGAGGAGCTTTGGCAGAGGTAGAGGCCGAGGTGACTATAATGAGGGGCATGGGAGCTCTAGTGGCAGGGGGAGTACCAGAATGGAGGGCACGTGCTGGTACTGCAAGAAGGTTGGGCATCCTTGGTTCAAGTGCTTCAGCAGGCTGGAGGGATGGGCACCTCCAGGCATGAAGCCGCCCAGTGGTGAACGCGCACAAGGTGGCGCTGTGCAAGGCTCAGGTGCACAAGGTGAAGGTGCACAAGGTAATGCCTATCCTGGTTTGTTTGTTATGGTTGAGGATGTGCATGGGCATGAGGGTGATGTGGGATCTGTGGGAAAGGTTGTGATGCACCCTCTCACGCACTGGGTGATTGATTCGGGTTGCACCAGTCACATGACTCCACGGGCAGATTTGCTTGATGAGGTAAAACCCCCTGGGAAGATTAAGTATGTGGCAGCAGCGTCAGGTGCTTTGCTCCCCGTGATTGGTGTTGGGAATGCCAAGGTTAAGGGAGCTAATGGGGAGCTTGTGGGGCTTGGGAATGTTCTGCTGGTTAAAGGCTTGTCTGCTAACCTTCTCTCTGTGCGGCGACTGCAGAAGAGTAAGGCCGAAGTGACCTTTGGACCAACCAGCTGCCGTGCTAAGCTTGGGAAGAAGGTGCTGTGGAGTCTGGAAGAG